CTTCGTAAAACTTTGATTACTTTTCCAAATTGATTTTTGATTTCGTTAAGGAAAGACTTAAAGATAGGTAATAATTCAGAACGGTCTTTCATTAGATAAATCCAAGTACACCTAGAAAACTCATCAATGAAGGTAACAAAATATCTATAGCCAAAGGATGAGACACGACTAGGACCCCAAATATCAGAATGAACAAGAGAAAAGACAGAGTCACATCTAGATTCAGAACGTTTAGGAAAAGAGGACCTAGTATGTTTCCCTAGTTGACATGATTCACATTCAAAATCTTGAAGAGTCTGAAGTTCAGGAACCATTTTTTTTAATCTTGATAAGTGAGGGTGCCCTAACCGTTCGTGTAATAGTATTGGAGACAAGGATGCAACACAAGATACAGATGATTTAGTCCCAAGGTAGTATAAGCCTCCAGATTCTTGTCCTTCGCCAATCTGGTCGACCCGTACCACGTTCCTCGTATAACAAAAGAGTTGGCATTAAAGGTTACTCGAACAATTCAATAATTTGGTTAATTGACTTAGAGAAATGAGACTGAAGGGACATGAAGGAACAAAAAGAACAGATTTTAAGTTTAAAGACTGGAGAAATGGAGACTTGACCAGTTCCTTTAGAGGCTACTTTAGATCCGTTGGCTAAGGTTATGAGATGAGGAGTTTTAGGAAATGAGAGAGAAGAGAACAAAGAGGCATTACCGGACATGTGATTACAAGCACCCGAGTCAATAATCCATGGATTTTGACTTTCCACAGATTGTGAAATGCAAGCCGTTGATGAATTTGGGGTTGTTGATGACTCGTGCTAGATTACTCGGATTTCAACCTCAAATATTCCCGATATTCTTCGTGAGAGAACTTGGGTTCAACCATTCCAGATTTGAAAAAATTGACAGCTTTATCAGGAAAACCGTGCAAAGAGTAGCAATTTTCCACTGTATGACCCATTCTCTTGCAATGAGTGCACCGAGGACGTCCTCTACCTCCACGTCCTCCTCTAGTGTCGCGACTTCCTCTTCCACTGGTAGAAATCATAGCAGAAGATTCAACAAGTTCTTGATTATTTTTTCCTTTGAGAGTTGGAACACGAAGCGAGTCTTGTAGTCAAACTTTCCATAGAAGGAACTTCTTGTCCAGTTAAAATTTGATCTCTAACATGATCAAATTCTGAATTCATAGCTCGGAGAGTCATAACCATATAGAATTTATCCAACTTTTGCTTTATCTCCTCTAACGAATCCACCTCTAGGAACATCTTTAATTCTTCAACTGCTGATTGAGCTTCAGCAATAAAGGTCATCATATCTTTATCCACTTGCTTGAGAGAGGCTAATCGATTAGCGGAATCATAGAGGCGTTGGATATCATTTGCGAAGATATTCTGAGCTTTTTTCCGAAAAGAGTTACATGTTTTGAAGGATCCGAGAGTGTTCAAAATATTTGGTTCTACTCGATTGCCACAGTAGAGCACAGAGTTGATAATCAAGCTTTTTCCATTGTTGAGCCTGATCTTCTGGTATCTTACTTCCGTCTTCTTCTAGATGATCGTGAAACCCTTGTCCAAGGAACCAAAGTTCCACTGAAGAGGACCAAGACATGTAACTTTTTCCATTTAATTTCTCAGCCATTATCGTGGGAGTTCCGGAAAAGGAGGTTGTGGGCTCTGACGACATGTTTTAAATAATATAGATGTAAGATGGAGACAATGGAATCTGTAAGAAAGAGAACACCCAAGATAGCCTGAAGGTTACTGGAAGGTGGTCGGAAAAGTCGTCGAATGGCAGCAAAAAAAGGTGACTGGACAGGGGATTGTCGGTTGCCGAAAAGTGACCGGAAAGTGGCCGGAAAATGGCCGGACGGTGGCCGGAAAATCGTCGGACGGTGGCCGGAAAATCGTCGGACGGGGGCCGGAAAATGGTCGGATGGTGATCGGAAAATGGCCGGACGGTGACCGGAAAATGGCTGGACGGGGCCGGAAAATGACTGGGACGGTGGCCGGAAAATGGTCGGACGGTGGCCGGATGGTGGCCAGACGGTGGCCGGACGGTGGCCGGACAGGCAGAGCAGGACCAACCTGCTCTGATACCAAGTTAAGAGAGTAAAGAGAATGAAAAGAAGATTTCTAATTTTGTGGGATCCTTACTCCACTCTATGATCTCATATATATATATAGGATTACAACATTTAAAACAACAACCACTAACTACTAACAACCACCAACCACCAACTACTAACTACTAACTACTAACCACTAACCACTAACTAATAATAATTCTAACAATGATCAAGGCTACATTCATATTTTTGGGAACAGTAATAGAAGACATTAATAATAAAAAAGATCAATAGGAAGGAGACAACATATGATAACTAAGAAAATTTTAAATACAATGTGGTTTATGGGTAGAATGAGTACCTTTGAGCAGGGCAATGGGCCAAGTTAAATCATTAGGATAAGGAGTCGTGGTATTAAGAGACTATATAGAAGAACTTGATGAAGAGGTCTCACTTTGGAGCATTGGACCAGTCATTCGGGTTCAACATTTGTAAGTAAGAGGAGGTGGTGATGATTCATGAGGATGTGAGACACCCTTTTTGAAGCTGAGAATAGCCCAAACACATTTTCTAGCACGAGCAAAGAGTTTATCTAGTCCTTTGGGATAAATCATGAACAAAACATACACATCCAAACACTCATGGAGAAATTTGAATGTGAAAATCATTGGGAAAAATAATGGAATAGGGAATCATATTATGGAGAGAAGAAGATGAAATTTAATAATAAAATAAACAGTTAGAATAACATCACCCCATTGATGTACTGGTAGATTGACACCAAGCGATAGGGTACAAGCAATCTCAATCAAGTGTCTAATTTTCTTCTCTGCAATACCATTTTACCGAAGGGTGTGAGGACCAGTGGACTGGTGTAGAATGTCATGCAAACTTAAAATTGTAGAGAAATTAGAGAAATACTCTTTGCCATTATCATTTTTTAAACTTTTCATTACTTCATCAAATTGATTTTTGATTGCATTCAAAACGAATGTAAAGATTAACAATTCTGGATGATCTTTTATAAATCCAAGTATATATGGAATGTTTGTTAATGAATGCAACAAAGTATCTAAAACCAAAAGACGAAACATGACATGGTCCCCAAATATTAGAATGGATCATAAAAACACAAAACTATGCCTTGAATCAGACTTTTTAGGAAAAGAATATCTAACATGTTTATCCATTTTTTTCTTTATTTCTTCAAATGAATTATCCTTTTAGAACATCTTTAGTTCTTCAATAGCAGATTGAGCTTTGCACATGAAGGTCATCATGTCATGATTGACAAGGTCTTCAATAGCATTTGTATAAATATTTTGAGCCTTTTTTCAAAAAGAGTTTCATGTATAAAACAAAATAAGAGCACCCAATAATTTTGGTTCCATACATTGTCACAGTAAGGATAAAACTAGATTTTTTTCCACTTTCAGCTTTATTAGATGACACATTACTCCTGTCTTGTTCAAGGTGATCATGGAAACCTGTGTCAAAGAATCATAGTTCAAACGAGGCAGACCAATAGAGATAATTTTTTCCATTTAGTATTTAAGAGGTCATGGAAGGAATTTTGGAGAATACAACGGGTATAAAGGACAATTTAGTGGGAGGTTGATGGGACGAACTAAGGAGAAGAACAAGTTTGGCGCGGGCTCAAACAATACAATTGTAGGTTTAACTAGAAAAACCCTAGAGAGGACATTCAATCTTGCGAGAAAGGTGGACCCAGGGACCAGACAAGCCCAAAGAGGTTCGATGACCCTAAACGAAGGCACACAAGGATGCTCTAGTTAGGAGGGGGGGTCGCTATGAGTTTCCGTTTACGGCTGTTTGGGTTGACTGTTGCATGGAGAGACAATCCAGATCCCGTTGTCACCGGAGAAACCTGGGATAGTGGTCGGTGGCTAATGATGATGACAACGACCAATTCTGCTTTGATACCCACTTAAGTGTAAATAAAAGCGAAAAAATATGTTTTAGAGGGTTTCATCACACGTCTCATGTGATTCCTTATTTATAATGATAAATTACAAATACAATGAGTAGATGGAAGATCAAGGACTAAAGTAGGAGCCAAAAACCTAGATACAAAGATAGGTACAACTCATATGTACAACATAACTTTTTAATACAACTACACTCGTCCTATATTTATTCCAACAAATTTATTGAGGTATCTTTGAATTGTTTTTCCTAATATTTTCATAAGATTTCCTCTATCATTCAATTGATATCTTCCATTTGACCTATTTTTATCATTGGAGCATCTCTATCTTTTTCTATTACCAAAACCCCTTATGCAAAGCTTCTTTCAACTCGTCACTGTATATTTTACATTCGTTCATCCATCTCTGAATCTTCGTGTTTGCCACACTCTTTTATGTTCTGGTTGGCTCTTCATTGCCTATTGTCCAATATTCATTGTCATTTTTTGTTGCTGTTCATATAGAAGAGTAAGAATTTCTTGAATTTGGTAGACAGTTCTCTATCACAACACATATTTGAGAATTAAAATTGATCCATGTAGCGCTGTAAGACATTCAACGGTAAATTTTTACTCTAGAAGGAGCCATTGAATGGATGAAAATATTATCTGACTATTTTTAATCATTTTTGTGTAACATGTATTGTATGATTTGATTTATTTATACTTTGTTCCCAGGCTTCCAATATCATAATATCACTTGGAAAAGGTTTATTTGTGGATCTAAAAAGATTTTTATTATTTGCTTCAAACAGTCTCTTCATATTTTGTTTAGTTGTTTGCTTGTCTGAATGCAACATTTTAAGCAGATATATTTTTATCGAGTTTGATGCATAAACTAATCTACTTTTTAATGGACATGACTATTTCAGGATGCTAAAAAGGGTGTCTTATTTATTGATTTTCCTCCTGTTCTTCAACTTCAGCTAAAAAGATTCGAATATGACTTTATGCGGGATACTATGGTTAAGGTTGGTGGTCCAATTGATACATTGCTGATATATTTATGCAGTTAGTACCTATCTAGTGCGAAAGATTTCCTGATGCGTTCACCTAGAGCTTCAATTGGTTAAACTGTTGCATGGAGTAAGGTGCATCTGGTGTGCTTTAGCTCTACTGTAAAATGGCAATAAAGATTTATTAAAAGTTACATGGAAATTTTTACGTTAACATTTGTGGTAGTAAATATTGGTTCTTTCATGGTATTGCTAATTATCTACTGTTACTGATTTATTCTTCCAAGTAAGTGATTTGGTGTGTATGTTAGAACGCAACTTGTACTAAACTGGTTGGTGGTATTACAAAGAAGTGGCTTGTTGAGTGCATGAATAGTTTTGATAGAATTTAAAGGATAATGCCTTGTAAATTTGAAATACACAGTAGACCCAACCCATTGCTGGTTAATTTATGCTTGTTTAAAAGAGTTTTTTTGTAGTGCTTTGTAGGATGGTTGTTGTATGGGTTAATATTTGTTACCTTGACTTGAGATCGTTACACAAGGCAGATTTTCAGCACGAGTGACCATGAGGGATTAGATATTATAATGAGGGTCAATTTTCATTCGCATGTGATAGATTCCTCAATGAACTGGTAGACTGATTTTTTTCTTTGTGCTTACTACAGATTAATGACCGTTATGAGTTTCCCTTACAACTTGATCTTGACCGTGAGGATGGAAAATATCTGTCACCTGATGCTGATAGGACTGTCCGCAATCTTTACACGCTTCACAGGTAATACAAATTGCACTGGGTAGCTATTTTTATAGCTTGATTTACTTATGGTACAATGTTTCCTTGTTATATGTAAGGAGGAAAATTAAAAAAGAACTAATGCTCTGCTTTTCTCTCATTTTCTGACTATTGGGAAGTGTTAGAATAAGCTTTGTTTAATGTTGTTTTGTATTGTATGTATTTGTACCTAGAAGTGCCTTTCCTTGTTTTATACTCTTTTTTATTATTGATTGTATATGTCCTTTTTGCATAATATATAAATAGCAAAACATAAGAGAAAGATTCAAGCTCTCTTGAAACATATTTTCTCTCTTTTATTTACTTGAGATAAATGAAATAAAAACGTTATATATTTGGGAGGCTTAATCACATCTCTCTTGTGATATCTTATTTATAATGATAGAATATTGATACACTAAGTAGAGGGAAGATCAAGGTCAAAGGCATGAATTAGAAACCTAGTTACATAGATAGGTACAACTCATAGGTACAACATGAAAGAACTTTTAATACAACTAGTTACAACTCATAGGTATAACATGAAACAACTTTTTAATTCAACTACCTGTATTTAATATAACTACTCTCTACCTATATTTAATACCTATTCTAACACTCCTCCTTAAGCTAGAGCATACAAATTATACGTACCAAACTTGGAACAAATTAACTCAATTCGACGTCCCCTTGAGTACTTTGGTGACACATTCAAGTTGACCATTAGTACCAACAAACTTAGTACAAATTTCCTTTGACAACAACTTTTCTTGAATAAAATGATAGTTAATGTCAATGTGTTTAGTTCTCTCATGGAATATTAGATTGGAAGCAATGTGAAAAATAACTTGGTTATTACAATACATCTTCATTGTCTTGATCTCACGAAAGTTACAGATGCCATTATGCTATATTTAGCTTTAGCAGTTGATTTAAGGACTATATTTTGTTTTTTATTTTCCAAAAAATAATATTTTCAATACGATATATTGTAGTTAGGCATCTCTCATTAGGAGATCTTGCTTAATTAACATCTCAATACCCAGAGATTTGGCTTTTGCCTTTATTATCATATAGCATACCTTGTCGTAGAGCCTTTTTGGGGTGCGGGACGTAACGAGGAATTTTAGATAAGGGGGTCAACATATAAATGTTAATCATCATATAAAAATAAATATATTCAATATTACTAATTAAATTTGAATTTTAGAAAATAAAATTTATTTTATTTTTCCTTTTTTTACTTCTTAAAATTGAGTCTATGATTTTATTTTTAGATGTTCAAATTTAACATCAAACTAGAGTATCATAAAACATTAAAATAACTATCTAATTTATAACAAATAAAAAATTTATATCAATATTTTATATTTTTATATTACATTACACATGTTAATTTGTTATAATATAAAATAATGGTAATAAAAAAATTTGTTTACTAATTTTTACTTTTAAAAAATTAATGAGGTATTTCCTTTATTTTTTAATTTTTTGCCTTATGCTTTCTTGAACAAAAGAAAAAAAATTAAAAAATTATAGAATAAAAAATTACAATTTTTTTTTTATAGAGATGAAATTATAAACTAACACATTAGAAGAAACTAAAAAACTAAAAAATTATATATGGTTGTGATCCTATGTGCCATGAATTCAAATTTTAATCATAATAGGGATCAAATCTTAACATGTCAAGTAGTTCCAACTATGGCATATTTGGCTCTTTTGCCATGTTATCTACATGTGGGAGAGGACATAAATGTGTATATTGCAAAAGAATGAGTCATTCAAGAAAATTGTTACACTTTGCATGACATTCTTGATAAGACTGTTAATATCTCTAAATTTGAATTTGTTGTGCCAAAGTTCTCTAATACAAAATATCAAGAATAATTTATGTTTAAATTCAACAATGGCTTAGCACAATCATCTATAAATCTTCTTTTTGCATTTTGCAAAAAGATGTTGTTCTGCCTTTTCTATCATCGATTTTGACATACTAGTCATATCTCAATTTTTGGATATAGATATTTTGTTACTATTATTAATGAAAGACTGTTTGGAGTTGTTTCTATTTTTATTTTTTTCTTTTCTTGATGAAATCAAAAATCAATTTGGCGAAGTCATTTAAACTTTAAGTGATAAGGGAAAAGAATATTTGTCCTTAATTTTTGTGCTCTTTTAAGCTCATGATATTTTACCCAAGTCTACTTGTCCTCACATACCTTAATGAAATGGTATAACAAAAACGAAAAAATAGACATTTGGTTGAAACTGTTAACCTTATTGTTTTGTGCCAATATACTTGCCCATCATTGAGGAGATGCTATTTGTATTGCATGTTTTCTTATCAATAAAATGTTCTCATCTTCTCTTGAAAATAAAGTTCGTTATTATGTTGCATTTCCATGTTAACTCTTGTTTCATATTCTGTAAGTTGTGTTCGTGAAAGATCTCTTGGTTTTGATAACTTTTCATCCAAAGCCATTAAATTTGTCTTATTGGGATATTCTTGCTTTAAAGAGAGTGTTGAGATCTAATGTTTATGTATCTTTTAGTATTCTTTTCCAGTGTTCCTTAGACTTGGGTTAAGGGTTTGGACTTGTACCCCTTTTTCTATAAATACAATGTATTAGTAGTGCCTTTGGTCATTATATCAAAGCCTAAATAAGTTTTCTCAAGTTGGTATCAGAGCGGGTAAGATCCTGCATTGATTTCCCTTTGTTAGCTTCGGCTGTCGTTAGCCGCCGTTCGCCGTCGTCACCGTTGGCCACCGTCTCCATTTGGACCGGCGAAGGAGTGGCGAGGAGCGCGATCCACCCCTACAAGTTGCTCCTTCGTCAGCTGCCCCACGTGCCATCGCTCGCGGTCATCTTGGTGAGCCCTCTTAGGTGCGTGTGTCCCACGCGCCGTCTTCTAGTTGCCGGAATCAAGGCCGACCACCTCCGTTCGATTTGGCGGTGTCCTCGGAGTCCAGTGGTGCCCTTAGTTTTCTGATTTGAGAACTGTGTATAAAAAGTCCTGTGGGTAATCCTATTCATTGGCTTTATTCATCTTTTCTAGTTCAGATGGCCTCATCCTCTTCCTTCACCTTCTCTACTACTCCCACCATAACTAGTGCTAGGCTCAACTGGAAAAATTACTTATCCTGGTCTGCTTCAGTTGAATTGTGGTTTCTCTACAAGGGCATCACAACCATTTGGAGAAGGATGTAGACTCTATTTCCGCTGCAGAAATGTCTCAGTGGGAGAAAATAGACTTCCATCTTTGTGCAATCTTATGACAGTCTATGGAATCAGATGTTCTTGAGCTTCGTAGGTCATTCAAAAATTGTTCTTCCTTTTGGAAAAAAGCTCAAGACATGTTTGCTAATGATATTCAATGTCTCTTTGATGCAACTCAAAGAGTGACGTCACTTAAGCAGACCAATCACAACATGATGGTTCACATCGCAAAAGCTAGGGCTGCTGTGGAAGAATTAAAAAGGTTTCTTGTTACAAATACCCTAGAGGAGTTATATATGGTTCTAATTTTGAGAAGTCTGCATTCTGACTTTGATCATGTTTGTGATCAAAATCCTAACTGGCGATCATGTTCCATCAATGGATAATCTTGTCACTAGGTTGATTTGGGTTCCTAATCTCATGGTTGATGAGAATCAGGTGGAGACTGTTGAAACTTCTGCTATGGTTTCCCCTAGGGGTTGAGGGGGAGGATGGGACAAATCGAGGTGGACGTGGTAGTGTGAAAGTTCGTCCTCAATGCACCTATTGTAAGAGGATGGGACACACGTAGAAAAATTATTATTCCTTGCATGACTTTCTTGATAAGACTACCCATGCATCTAAATCGGAGAAGCTAGATATGAAGATTTTTGATGAGGTGTATTAGGAGTTTTTGAAGTTCAAATCTGGAAAGTTTAACGGGCAGGGTCAATTCTCTTCAATGCCAAGTGTTTCAACTACATGTATTTCTCAATCCGTGAAGGTCAGAACCCATGGATTCTTGAATCAGGTGACTCTGATCATATATCTGGTAATAGTTCATCGTTTTCCTTCGTGTCCTATCCTAAAATTCCTCACTTAGTCACTGTAGCTAATGGATCCAAAATGAAATCTCACGGTATTGGCCAAGTTCTTTTAACCCATCTCTAAATTTAAATTTAGTTATTTTCATTCCTAATTGCTCTTATAACTTGATCTCTCTAAGTCAACTTACTCGTTCTTTGAATTGTTCTGTAACCTTTATTTTCAATTCTTTTGTTATCCAGGAATATGATACGGGTCATCTGATTGGAGAAGGACATGAATCACATGGTTTGTACTATCTAAAACCAAGTCCTTCAGTGTCTTGTCTGGTTTCTTCTACCCCTAAACTTTTGCATGATCGTCTGGGTCACCCAAGTCAATCTATGTTGAAAGTGATGACTCCTAATTTTCAACATCTTCGTCCATTCTAGTCTTATTACCTACCAACGAAAGCCACAAATATCCTCTTTATGAGATCCTTTTCAATCATCACTTGAAACCATGACTCCCAATAAAAAAGATGCATGTTGGCCCGTTGCTATTCGTAACGGTACTCATTCAATATGTAATCCACTTCCTATTTATAATCTTCTCATTTATCATAGGTTGCTTCCTTGTGTTTTTCTTGTATTTCATTTGTTTCTTCTATTAATATTTTTTTAAAAATATGAATGAATCACTTGATCTTCCTAGGTGGTGACAAAAACGTGGTTGTTCAAATGCAACACATGGGAGTTAGTTCCTCTTCCATATGGGAAGAAGACAATTAAACGTTGCTTGATTTATGCTAAAGTTGGATCTAGTCGTGAAGTTTGTTGAATCCAATAATCAACTTGTAGATGTGTGAACAAAACCCTTAAGAGGACCCCATTTCAATTTATATGTACCAAGCTTGGTTCATATGATCCAAATGCTCCAACTTGAGGGAGAGTTTAGAATAGACATATGATAATAGGATTTATTAAAAGATGTTTTGTACTGTATCTATCTACAGCGAGAGGTTCCTTTACTTGTTTTACATTCTTTTCTCTCATTGATTGTTTCTCTCCGTTTTGCTTATATAACTAACAAAAACCTACTAGGGACAGATTTAAGTTCTCCAGAAACATATTTTCTCTTCTATTTATCTAAAGTAGAAGAGAGAAGATTTAGTGTGAATCTAGATGACTACTCTTTTCTCATCCATTTCTTGGGCCTTGCAAACAATAATGTTTTTTCTTTCTTACAGTTAATGTTTTCATGGGCGTTTCTTTTATAACAACAGATAATTAGGGAAAGTTGGTGCATTGGTGTGATTGGCCGAATACATGTAATTGGTGTGCAGTTATCTTCCAAATTTTTTTTTTTTACCATACTTGTTTTTGTGCATTTTATCATATTAAATAGCACTGATCTTTAATTAAGAAAATGCATAAAGATCATAAATTTTTATTTATCCAAGCTATTGAAGACATTGCTATCCAATTTGTTTCATGCATATTTGATCTTATGAAGATCTGCTTTTAACATACTTTGAAATTTTTGCCAGTGTTTTGGTTCACAGTGGAGGTGTGCATGGCGGACATTATTATGCTTTTATCAGACCAACCCTCTCCGAACAATGGTATGTGTAAATAGTGTGGACAGATATCTTCCGTTCATTGTCTTTGATGTAGCATGTATTTATGCATCTATGTGATGGGGACATGAGACAAATATATTAAATATGAAAGATAACTTGCTGTTGGGAGCACAGTGTATATTACATGCATTTTTTTCTTTATGGGAAGGAGTTCTGGGCAGTGTTGTGTAGGATAGAATCCACTAACAGAAAAATTGTTTGCATATTGAAACCATGGGAGAGGATATAAATTTAGCTTCTAGATGTTGGTCTTGGCAAGCAAGTCTTTAATGTATTTGATTTGGGTCATGAGGGGACTCGTTGGGTTGAGGACATACCTGTGTGCCAAGAAAATAGTGTAGGTTTTTTAGTCGTTGGAGAGAAAAAGACAGTTCAGTTTTTGAATGAGATGGTGAATAAGAGAGACAGATGACTGAAGATGAACAAGAAAGGGTCACATTTGTTTGAAACCAAACTGCAGTAAGGTGGCTTTGAGTTGATTAAACTAGGTGGATTGTCTAACGCCATAAATAGCTTTGTGAAGCCTGGAAAAAAGAGAGGTATCTACTGCTTCAAATCCTGGTGGTTGGATCATGTAGACTTCCTCATCATGAAAACCATTGAGGAATGCTTTGTGAACATAGTTGAAAGATGCCCCACTTTTCAACTAAGAGCTTATGTGTGTATCCTTTGGCAACAATCTGTGCTTTGTATTTATATGAACAGTATCATCTAGATTTTCTAGAGTAGAACCCATAAACTGGCATCCGTTGTTGACAGCAAAAAATAATTCAGGATGCGTAATAGCAACATATTGAAGTGCACCAACAATGGACCTTTCAAAAGAAGGATCTTGTAATAGATCTGAACCATGGTTGGACCATTTGCAACTAGTTACCATACGGGATGAAATAGACATAGATTCAAGTATATTAGTCTTGATCCATAAGTGTATGGTGTATTTGGCCCATGAGTCATAAGAATAAACCCTTTAGGTAGTCAATTATTTCAATGGCAATAAATTAATGGAAGGAACCAAACTGTTTCGTTGAGTAAGTGGAATTTATTTGAGTAATGAACTGTTAGTGATGATAATATCATCAACATACACCAGTAAGTAAATGGTAGCAGAGGTGCCATTGCATACACTTCCAACCTCTCACTATTATTAAACCCTGATCTTGCTTTATTTAACTTGCAGAGTAGAGATTTATCTTCAACTTCAAACCCTTGAGGTTTAGTCATGTAAACTTTTTGAAGATAGCCATTTAGAAAAGTGTTGTTTACATCAACTTGAAAAATACGCCATTTGTGAGCAAGAGTGAGAATTATACGAATGGTCACACATGTTTAATAACATGAGAGAATTTCTTGAAAAAATAAAATCCAAACCTTTGATTAAATCCCTTGTAACCAATCTTGTCTTCTACTGTTTATTGAGCCATCTCCATTTTCTTTGACTCTTAAAACTCATTTGCAGCTAATGGGAATCTTGTTTGGAATTGTTGGATATTGACTGTGAAATTATAGTATATTGGTGGGGGTGCAAACTTAACCATATATAAGGCGGTTTTGTAAAATTGAGTTAAGTTCATACTCACTTTCTAATATGGTATAAGAGTCTATCCTAAAAGTCAGCTCTTTATACCAATCGCTCTCAGACACCCATATGGAATCACCATCCTCAATGTGAGAGGGTGTAATAGAAATTCAACAAGTATCTAATCCCACATTTGAGATGTTTAGTTCTGGTGTGAGAGGGTTGGTTGGAGATCTCACATCGACCAAGTATATGATGAAATTACAGTATAAAATGTAACCTCATCTTACAAGTTGCTTTTGTAATTTGACTTATATTCACATTCTAATAAGTTGTAAAGGAACAAGAGCCCAATTATTGTTTTTCTGTAAAACAGTAAATTCATTAGTCATAGCAATTAACTATTTTGAGTCTTGAAGAGCTTGTTATACACTTTTGGGCACAAAATGAGCAACAAGGAGAGAAGGTTGAACTCTCGGTTAAACAATCCCAATTTTTCATCTTGTGAGCATAGGATGAATGTCAAGTCAAAGGTTAGAACCAGAGAATTTTTTACAAGACTCAACTGAAGCTTGAATACTGTCAGAAGAAAAAGCTCTTGAATTTAACATAAAGGACTCAAAGAAGGGGATGAAGTGGACTGATGTGGAATTAGATTCAATGACTTGTGGAGCTGTAGGAACAGTTGCATCTGTATGAATTATATCAGCAAAACAGGCAGACACAGCCCTAATTAGGAGATGAGGGTGTAGAAGTAGATGAGAAAAGGCAGAAATATATGCTCGTTAAAAATGACATTTTAGAAATAAGGTTTTCTCCCTTGGGAGATAAATATATGTATCCTTTATGATTAGTATAATACCCCAAAAGGACACTGAATTGACCTAAATGCAAACTTGTCATCATTGCAAGGTCTAAGGAAACGAAAACATGTACACCTAGAAACATTGAGAAAATTTTAATTAGGGAAACTTTGAAATAAAGAGGAGTAGGTAGTGTGGTAAATTGAAGAGGAACACATGGTAACTTATTATGAGGTACAGAACAAGTGAAAACATGATTCCAAAGGCTAAGGGATGAGATACCTGACTGAGAAGAGAAAGACCCACTTGAAATAGAAAAAGGAAAATAAAGAACTGATTTTGAGAGCCTGAAATCATCTTCTTGTGTTCTCTTATTTATAGGAGATAAAAATACAGATTCAGAGATACAATTAATAGAGAGACATGATTAATCCTAGAGAAGATAAATAGATGCATTCTAGGAACTAGGTCTACAACTAATCTCATAAATGCCTACCAAGATACAATTAATCTAATAAATACTTCAATACTCCCCCTCAAGCTAGAGCATACAAATTGAATGTACCAAGCTTGGAACAAATGAATTCCATTCGAGATCCTCTCAAAGATTTTGTTAATGCATCTGCAAGCTAATCATTGGAACCAACAAACTCAGTACAAATTTCTTTAGTCAACAACTTCTCCCGAATAAAGTGACAGTCAATCTCAATATGCTTAGTCCTCTCATGAAATACTGGGTTGGAAGCAATTGATTATCACAATACATCTTCATAGATTGAATACCCAAACAAGTTCACAAGTAAGAGACGCCATTGCCCTATATTCAGCTTCAGCAGAGGATCGAGAACAACATTTTACTTTTTGCTTTTCCATGAAATGATATTACCTCCAAAGAAAACACAATAGCCTATAGTGGAACGTCTATCCATGGGAGATCCAGCCCAGTCAGTATCACAGTACCCAAAAATTTGGGTATTTCCCTTATCTTCATATAATAAACCTTGTCCTGGAGCTTTTTTAATGTATCTTAAGACTCGAATGATAGCATTCCAATGATCCACACAAGGAGCTTGCATAAATTGGCTGCAAAAGACAAATCAGGTCTAGTAATAGTCAAATAAATAAGTTTCCCAACCAGTCTTCTATATCTTTTTGGGTCAGAGAAAACTTCACCCTGTCCTGCCATTAATTTCAAATTTGGATCCATAGGACTGTCCACAGGTTTGCAATCAATCATACCTGTCTCTTTTAGAATATCTAAAGCATATTTCCTTTGAGAGATGACAATACCTTCTCTAGATTGAGCTACTTCAATACCCAAGAAATATTTTAGATTTCCAAGATCCTTGGTTTGAAAATGACTACACAAGTGCTCTTATAGCTGAGATATTTTAGCAGCATCATTCCCTGTGATGACAATATCATCAACGTACACAATTAAATAAGCATGTTTGCCAGTGGCAGTGTGACAATAAAACACTGAATGATCTACTTCGCTGCGTTTTAATCCAAAAGCTTGAACAATAGAGGGATCGACGTAATTTACAAACCAAACCAAACTCCCCCTGAGCAACAAATCCAGGAGGTTGCTCCATGTAAACTTCTTCTTCTAAGTCACTGTGCAAAAAGTCATTTTTAATATCCAATTGATGACGAATGGCGGCCATGGCAAGGAACATGCGGACAGTGGTCATTTTGGCTACAGGAGAAAAAGTATCACAATAATCAAGTCTCATATATTTGAGAGTACCCTTTAGCCACTAACCTGGCTTTGAGACGATCAACCTGACCATTGGGCCCAACTTTAATAGCATAGATGCAACGACAACCAACTGTTTTCTTTCCCAAAGGGAGAGGAACAAGCTCCCATGTTTTGCTATGATCAAGAGCCTGCATTTCAGAAATCATGGCTTGTCGCCATCCAGGATGATCAAGTGCTTCGACCACATTTTTGGGAATTGTAATAGAAGATACAGAGGAAATAAAAGAACAATAGGTAGGAGACAATCTATGATAACTAAGAAAATTGTAAATGGGATAAGGATTACGAGTAGAACGAGTACCTTTGCGAATGGCAATGGGCCAACTGGAGTCATCGTTATCATTAGCCGTGGTATTAGAGGATGATGGAGAATGACCTGTTATGGATGACTTATCTTGGGGAATGGAATTGTTCACCTGGTTCCTGCGTTGATAGGTGATGATAGGCTGTGATGATGAGTCTAGAGTATTTTGGTTGGGATTTGGAGTGTCAGGAATAGGAGGTACAAATGATTCAACTAAGGGAGCAGGTAAAACATTTTGGACAGAATCAATATCCTGCATAGAATAAGGGAAGTAGGAGGATGATTCAAAAAATGTGACATTAGCAGACATGTAATACCTCTTGGTTCAGGAGAATAACACCGATATCCTTTTTGAAGACGAGAATACCCCAAGAAGACACATTTGATAGCTCTAGGTGAGAGTTTATCTAAGCCAGGAGACATGTCATGAACAAAACATATACATCTAAATACCCTAGGAGAAACATGAAAAATTGGTTCCTTTGGAAATAGAATAGAGTGTGGAACTTTATTGTCAAGAGAAGAAGATAACATTCTATTAATGAGAAAGCATGCAGTTAGAATAGCATCTCCCCAATGATGAATAGGCATATTGACACCAAGC